CAAATTCTTTTTCATTTTCTACGAACAATGTTCTAGACAGATAATCTGTGGGAAATATCTGTTTGAAACATCATAATTTTTCCACGGAAAAAATCCGTGGGTAAAATCCATCTGAAATTTCAGACGGAAAAAATATGTGGGTAATATCTGTCGGAATCATTTATGTTTCGGACGGACACATATCCGTCAGAAAAATTCATCGGTAATGTCATTTTTCATACGGATATTTATCCGTGGGAAAAAGTCTGCCGGTAATAAGTGTCTTTTTTGTAGCGATGACTTAAACAAATAAAAAAATCAGCGGAAATTACAAAGAAATAATGCTAAGGTTTCCAAAATAATAAGAACAACATCCTATTCTAGTCCTATCTATGCCCCGATATCACATGTCCTATCAGAGCAAAGCCCAACATGTGACACCTTCTACCCCAACATACATATACAATAATTATAAAAATAAAATTCTTCATCATTAAAAACCAAATCTCCAACCACATAAGGGTAAAGAGTTCACATTCATAAACTTAATCCAAATCATATGTCAGTGAAATTACAAAGAAATAAAACTGAGTTTTTCAAATAGTTCAATGGAAACCACACCCTAAACTAGTCCTAACTACGCCCCGATTAGGGATGGCAAAAATACCCGCACCCGCGGGTATTTGCGGGTAAAATCTGCTACGGATAATAAATGGATAGTTATTAAAATTGTAGCAAAATTTGTAAGAAATATTTGTAAAAACAAAAGGGAAATTTGATGATGGTTACATGCATGGATTCTAACGTTCAAATCAACGAGAATATAAGTGAAGTGCAAAAATTATTGAAAAAATTTGATATGGTAAGGGTGGACTCTCAAATTATACCAGACAAAGCTTACGGAATTTCTACAAAATCACGTACCTTACCATTATTAACATGTAATTCATTTGTATTTAGTTTTTCCACCAAACAATTTTGAAAACGTTACAAATACGACTATTTCTAATTGAGTGTGCTATAGAACATGTTGATACAAAATTAAAAGTACTTTTAAAAACTTTTTTTATTGATTATTTTAATAATAAAAAAAACTCTCAAAAACATCTATAATTTATATTCAAACAACTCGAAATTTCAAAGAGATAAGGTGGGCCATTCCTCCCTCATTCTCTGTAATGCATTTCCATTGTTTGTCAAAAATAAAGATTTTGTTGGGCGAATTGAATAATGAAATTTACGAAACAATAAATAGATATACTATCTAATTGAAGCAATGGATATGCATTTTGTGATACATATATATTATTATTTTCTCTTTATTGAAAAATTAGGAAACTTAAGTTTTTGCTTAATTTAACTAACTTCATAAAGTAACATATATTCTTATAATTTTTTAAACATTCTATTATTTTATAAATTTATCGAATTGAAATTTATGTATGACATGAGTTTATTTTAATAATATGAGATAATAATTTATTAAATAAATGGTTAATCAAGTTATTTATTTAAACACATTCTTAATACATGTTTATATTAATTTAATTTTAAAATTGTTCTGAAAAAATATGAAGTTAATACATGTTTACATTTATTTAATTTTAAAACTTATCTGAAAAATATATAAATAATCTGAGACAATTATTTTCTTCAATTTAATTAGTTAGGAATAAAAAATTATTACATTATTAATAAATTTAATTCAATTTCTTATTGAAACATAATAAAAAAATTGATATTTTTAATAAATTTCAACTAGTAATATAGTGTCAAAGAAAATATCGTTTCTTGTCACCAAAAAAAAAATATATATATATATATATATATATATATATATATATAAAAGCTTTATTATTCGTTCCACTATATAATAATTATCATCATATTTTAGAAATGTATAGTTTATTTTTAGACATTAAATGAAGTAACTTGTAACTTATAATTTATAAGTTTTTAGCTATTTTTTATTATTTCAATTTAATATGTTATTTTATAAGTTTATTTTAAACGAGCATTTGATACGTGAAATATTTTTACTTTTCTAATTAAATTGAGAATATTAATTTTTTATGTTTGGTAATTACTTAAAAAAAATTTCAAAAATACAATTTTTTAGAAACTATTTTTATCTCACTTTCCTACAAAAATACTTTCGTGGGAGAGGTGGGAATCCAAATTTCCCGAATTAAGAATTTTTTTTTATGTATATAAAAAAATTATATCATCCCTTTTTTAAAAAAAAATGTCCCTTTCTTTCCTCTCTTTCTTTCACTCTCACTCCCCCTCTCTCCCTCTCTCTCCCCCTCCCCTCTCTATTCCTCCCATATCTTTATTTTTCTTTTTCTCTTTTTTCTTGTATCTTATTATTTATTGACCTTATCAATTTTAATAATATTATTAAAGTTTATTTTGATTCTACATTTTAATGGTACTTGTTAACACTTTATTTTTACTGTTTATTTTAATGAAACGAAATAATATTTTTTTTCTTAATTATAATGTAGCATTTATTTAAATTCTGTATTTAAATAATTTTAATAAATATTTAACTTTTATAAATAGTTTAATATCATATTTTTAACAAGATTTGAGTAAATAAATATATCTAATAAGTTTATTTCAATAAAGGATATTTTTATTAAAAAAATATTTATATACTTAAGAATATATTATTGTAATCAAACATGAAAATCTTTAATTTTCAAAAATCTTATATGAATATTCTTAAGAACTTTTATGAGTAAACAAACATGTTTTAACTATTTACAATAATCATAATTTTTAGGATATGTAATTTCCAAAAATCATAATTATAAAAATTGGTTATTTTATGTCATTTAATGATTATTAATTAGTTAAATATATTTAATTGAGTTTCAAAATTTATTAAATGTGTATTCATAAAATATATTATATATTAATTTAAATTTATGTAATAAAGAATTAAATAACTTTTAAATATTTACAGACTTAATCTATACATTAAGAACTTTTAATTCAACCATTGAATTGACAATATTTAATGTAAAATATGAATTATTGAAGTTTATATAAACTTACTTTTGGAATAAATAAATATCTTATCTCTTTGTATTAAAGTAATTAAATCCTTGACTACACTTATTAAATAGAAATTTTAAAAAGTAAATATTTCTTTCTCTCTCCTCTCTCATTAATTATTCATTTCATTGTCATTTATGATTTATTTTTACATCCTCACCTCACCCACATTGAGCAAAGCCAAATCAAGAAAGAAATTTTTTTTTAACATTCTAGTTATTAAATTAAAAGTTTGTATCAAATTAATAGATCGTTTACAAATTTATGTAATGTTTAAAATTTATTTAATTATTTATTATATAAATTCAAATTAATGTATAACATATTTTATGAATGCACATTTAGTAAAATTTGACACTCAATTAAATATATTTAACTAATTAATAATCATTAAATGACATAAAATAGCCAAAAAAATTTAATAATCATTAATTATCATGATTATTAAAAATTTGCAGACTTTATCTATATATTAAAAAAATTAATTTAATGGTTGGATAACTAAAATTTGATGTAGAACATAAATTATTAAATGGAATAAGTAGTCGCAAATTGACCCTTTTTCAAATATATATATATATATATATATTATAAGAGGCGACTCAAGTAAAAATACTTATTTATATAAAAGTATAAGAAATTGAGAATAATTAATAACAACTCTTATATTAATATAAATAACTTATATTAAAATATTATAACTAAAGCTACCGTGTACCATCACTATCATGATTGTTTCTATCATTGTTATATTTAGCTTCTTCATTACAACTATTGTTGTTACTACTATCGTCATTGTTTCTGTTCTTAATTGTTATTAATTTTTGTTATATATTGGCTAATTTCTTTCTAATATTTAAGTCTTATTTCAACTCACTTTTCGTATTGTGTAACTAAGTATCAAATAACTTTCAAATTTTATAAAAAAAAATTAAATTTTATTTATTCAATAAAAAAATTTAATTTAAAAACTAAATCATTAAAATTCAATGTATATCATGAGTTATTAAGTGAAATAATTATATCAAGAATTATTTTAGAGTAACTTAATCCCAAGACACGCATAGATTAAAGTAATTAAACCTTTGACCATATATATATATATATATATATATATATAGAGGAGGGTTCAAACGACACCAGTGTAACTTTTACTAAGTGTTACACCGCTTAATAACTTTATATTAAATGTGAATTTTGAAAATTCAACCGTTAGATTGAAAGTTCATATCTCTTAGATCATATATACCAAATTTTATATTAATCTAAGATGATTTGATACTTCATTCTCATAAAATAAAATTGACGTAATATATACATTTCAAAATATACTAAAATATGAACACTTTGATTACCTTCAAGTTGTTGTTCAATTTTAACAAAATTTGACATATATGATCTAAGAGATATGAACTTTCAATCTAACGGTTGGATTTACAAAATT